TCTTTCATCAAGCCCACAAATCTGCTCTTGTCGTGGTCCCCACCCCCGTTCATCTTGCGAAGCCCAATGGTCAGTCCTCAGTTCAAGTATTCATCAGCAGCGTTTGATGCAGATGGCAGCTCCCTTCACTTCCCTGACCACACTCCCCCACCCGCCTCACTAGCGCTCCCTTTGTCCCCATATTCCCCATTAAAGTTGGAGTGTCCCAAGGCTGAATCCTTGGACTTCTTTATCGACATTCACTTTCTTCGAGATCTTACCCAGTCACACACTTTTAAATACCACATCTATACAGTAAATCCCAAATTAATATCCCAGCCCAGCCCTTGGCTCTGAACCTGGATACTTATAGCCAGTGATTTGCTAGACCCACCCCTTAGCATTTCTCACTGAAAACATCCCATTTTGAACGGATTTTCCCTCCTAACATCTGCTCTGTTGCTAGTCTTTCCCAGAAGAGTTAGTGACATCTCCATCCTTCCTTGTCCAAAAGAAACTTGGCACTGTCCTCCATTTTTCTTTTTCTCACACCCACATGCAACTCACGAGCAATTCTTCTTGGCTGTACTGTGAAAATATTGCATCTTCATTTCTCAGCTGACCACTTTCCAGCACCCGCTCTGCCTCCGTCCTGGTCCTGCCTCCCATCACATTGGGCACCAGTCTCCTGACACCCAGCTGGTCTCCTAACTTCCATCTTTGCCCATCTTTGCCCATCTGCAGTATATTCTTAGTAAGGCAACTAGAATGTCCCTTTAAAAACAGAAGTCAGATGATATCTTTTGTCTACAACCTTCTATTAGCCAACTGTCTCACTCATTAAAACCCAAAATCCGTCCCTTGCTTCTGAGGTGCCATGAAATGGGCTCAGCACTCTCTCCTTCCCTTTGACCTCATTGTCCCTCCTTCCTCTCCCCCCACCGCCCCTCCAGCAGAGCACCAGCCTTGCTGATCGGGACCAGCTGGGCAAACAGACTCTGCCAGGAACACTTGCAGAAATACACTCATGGCTTGGCCCCTTACCTCCTTTGCTAAAATGTCACCTTCCCAGTGAGACAGTCCCTGGTGGTGCTTTTAACATTTCTCTGCCTCCCAGTCCCTACTCCCCTGCTTTCTTTCTCCCTAGTGCTTTTGCTTATTTAGTTTGTTTTCTGTCTACCTACTATGAGCTCCTTGAGGTCAGGAACTGGGCAGTGCCTGCACATCATAGGTGCCCTTTACGTATTTCCTTGGTGAGTCATTGTTGCCTTCTGATTAACCCCATGGCAAGAGCTAGCTGACTGTTATCTCGTATTTGTCACTTGATAACCGTGGCTTTTTCACATTTATTTAGCCTCTACAACGTGCCAGGAATATGAAAGTGAGTGCTAGTGCATAGAGTTTACCCTGTTGAACAAACAAATTCATACAGCTCACTAGCATTGCTTTTTTTTTTTTTTTGAGACGGAGTCTCGCTCTGTCGCCCAGCCTGGAGTGCAGTGGTGCGATCTCAGCTCACTGCAAGCTCCGCCTCCCGGGTTCACGCCATTCTCCTGCCTCAGCCTCCCGAGTAGCTGGGACTACAGGCACCCGCCACCATGCCCAGCTAATTTTTTGTGTTTTTAGTAGAGACGGGGTTTCACCGTGCTAGCCAGGGTGGTCTCGATCTCCTGACCTCGTGATCCACCCGCCTCGGCCTCCCAGAGTGCTGGGATTACAGGCATGAGCCAGCGTGCCCGGCCGCTAACATTGTTTTTTATTTTAAACTTCACTATGCAAAATTTACTTTTTTTTTTTGAGACGGAGTTTTGCTCTTGTTGCCCAGGCTGGAGAGCAGTGGTGTGATCTCAGCTCACTGCAACCTCTACCTCCTAAGTTCAAGCAATTCTCCTGCCTCAGCCTCCAGAGCAGCTGGGATTACAGGTGTGTGCCACCACTCCTGGCTAATTTGTGTATTTTTAGTAGAGACGGAGTTTCACCGTGTTGGCCAGACTGGTCTTGAATTCCTGACCTCAGATGATCCACCCGCCTTGGTCTCCCAAAGTGCTGGGATTATAGGTGTGAGCCATGGCACCCAGCCACAAAGATTTCAAAATCCAAAAACAATTTGCAATCTGAAATACTGGGCCCGAGCATTTTGAATAAGGCCCACTCGGCCTGTACTGCATTTGTCATCTGCTCCTGTCTCTCCATCCACTCCCAGGCTTGCATGCCCATATAAGGTGGGTGCCAGAGGTAGAATTTTTTTCAGAGTTTTGTCCCAGGGTAAAGACTGTATTGAGAAAATTGACTTTGGGTAGAGCAAGATTACTTTCTGTTTTAGACAGGGTCTTGCTCCGTCGGAGGCTGGAGTACAGTGGCGTGATTGTAGCTCACTGCATACTGCATCCTTGAACTCCTGGGCTCAAGTGATCCTCCTGCCTCAGCCTCCTGAGCAGCTGGGACCACAGGCACGTGCCACTACACCCAGCTAATTTAAATTTTTTTTGTAGAGACGCAGTTTCCCTCTGTTGCCCAGGCTCTTCTTGAAGTTCGGGGTTCCAATTATCCTCCCGCCTCAGCCTCCCAAAGTCCTGGGATTACAGGCATCAGCCAAGCCTGTTCAAGATTGTCTTTTGCTCCGCAGTCCCCAGGAGAACAAAGGCAGGTGCTGAGGCTTGAAGAGGGGCCAGGGAAACTGCGATTGAAATGTTACAAATACATGTTTTCTCCAGGCTAGGGAGAAAGTGCCCACCTGCCTTCTGGTGGGGTAGGTAAGCCTTTCCAACTCAGAGTCATGCTTTTGCAGCGTCAGTTAGTGTTCATTTTTTAAAAAAATGTTTTTTAAACTTTTAAACCACATTTAGCTGTAGTAAAAGACACATAACATACAATTTGCCTTTTTTTTTTTTTTTTTTTTTTTTTTTGAGACGGAGTTTCACTCTTTCACCCAGGCTGGGGTGAAGTGGTGCCATCTCTGCTCACCACAACCTCCCCCGGTGTTCAAGCGATTCTCCTGCCTCGGCCTCCTGAGTAGCTGGGATTACAGGTGCCCGCCACCATACCTGGCTAATTTTTGTATTTTTAGTAGAGACGGGGTTTCACCGTGTTGGCCAGGCTGGTCTCGAACTCCTGACCTCAGGTGATCCACCTGCCTCAGCCTCCAAAATTGCTGGGATTATGGGTGTGAGCCACTGTGCCCGGCCCAATTTGCCATTTTAACAGTTCTTAGTGTACAGTTGAGTAGTGTTAAGTATGTTCCCATTGTTGTGCAACCAATCTCCAGAACTTTTCATCTTGCAGAATTAAAACTTTGTACCCATTGAACAACAGCTGCTCGTTTCCCCCAGCCCCAGCCCCTGGCATCCACCCTTCTAGCTTTCTGTCTCTATAGGTGCCTCAGGTAAGTGGAATCGTTGTCATTTTGTGACTGGCTTATTTCATTTAGCGAAATGTCCTCAAGGTTCATCTGTGTTGTGTCATGTGTCGTTTCTTTTTGGGGCTGAGTTAGTGTTTATTCTTAAAAGCCTAAGACTCTGGATATAGACAGCTGCTCTTTGCATTCACACCTTAAGGCAGCTCCCTACATTATGCCAAATGTGACATTTGTTTCCCCCTCACCCTTCTGCTCAACTAAATTTAAGTATTATTATTATTATTAACTATTATTATTCACTGGCTCCATCCACTCTTAGGAAAATTTAAGTATTATTGCTTTACATTTTTATGGCAGGAGTTGGTTGTCAAAGCATGTTTACAAACATCTATTTTTAATAACAGCAATACTGAGCTGTAATTCACCCATTTAAAGTGTACAATTCAGTGGTTTTAGTATATTCACAAGGTTGTGCATCCATCACCACAATCAATTTTACAACATGCTCATCATTCCAAACCTTGGACCCACTAGCTATCACTCTTCACTCCTTCCTCCCCTAGCCCTGGGCAACCACAAATCTACTTCCTGTCTCTGGATATGTCTATTCCGGACATTTCATAAATGGAGTCATACAATACGAGAACCTTTGTGACTGGCTTCTCCCACTCAGCATGATGCTGTCAGCATTCATCCGTGTGGCATGGATCCGCATTTCACTCCTTTCACACCTACCTTGTAGGGTTGTTGTAAAGATTAACATAGGTGAGACCTGTGGTATGTTTAATGGTGCCTGGCACCTAATCCATGCAGAAGTGTGGTGGCAGGGGCAGTGGCAGTCATTACTGGGGAGGACAGGGCAGATGCTCTCTCTGTTCTTTTAAGTTAATTAAGTGACTTGCCTAAGACATGGCCAAATGGAAGTTCACTAACAGGTCCTGAGTCTCCACAGTACCCTGCTACCTCCTGACTGTAATATTTTGTTTCAGCGTGTGAGACGCGATAAATACCTGAGATGCTGCGGGCTCCGTGTGGGATATGAGTACCAGCACCGGAGTTGAGGGCTCAGGGGCTCCTGGGTGGAAACAGTTAACATTTAAAATAAATAATGTTATCAAAATTTGTACTTAAAAAAATGCAAACATAATATTCCTACATACTGATGGGGTACCTGTGATATTTTGTTACATGCATAGAATGTGTAATGATCAAGTCAGGGTACTTAGCACACCCACCACCTTTAACATTTATCATTTCTGTGTGCTGGGAACGTTTCAAATCTTCTAGCTGTTCTGAAATACACAACAGTTGTTGTTACCTTTAGTTACCCTAGGTGCTGTCGAACTCTAGAACTTACTTTTTCTATTAACTGTATGTTTGCACCCATTCACCAACCTCTTCCTCCCTCCCCTACCCCCGTCCAGCCTCTGTTAACCATCACTCTATTCTCCACCTTCATCAGATCAACATTTTTAGCTTTCGCATGAGTGAGAACATGTGATATTTGTCTTTCTGTGCCTGGTTAAAATGTGTACTTTTAAGATATTTATTAAATATTTTAAGAATAGGATACTGTGTAGTTAAAAAAAAAAAAAAACTCATCCTGGGTTAGGGATGAAAAGCCATTCAATTATTGACTTGAATCCTTTCTTTTATCTCCCTTTAGTGGAGTCATTGGGCGAAGCTGGGCCATGCTGTTTGCCGGTGGAGGCTTCCAGGTGAAACTCTATGACATTGAGCAACAGCAGATAAGGAACGCCCTGGAAAGCATCAGGTGGGCCAGCCGCGCTCTCCTGGAGGAATGGAAGTGGGTCTGTTTCTCTCAGTTGGTCTCGTTCGTCATCTCCTCAAGGCTGTGAGGACCTGTGATGTCACGTTTTCGTCTGATGGTTACTGTAGTGCCTCTGAGTTGGTAAAGGTCAGGCCTACAGTGGCGAGAATGTGAATTCATTCTGGGAAAGGGCTCCCGTGGGGGAGGAAAGGACCCTTCTGGCTGAGAGGATCTGCATCAAGCATGAGTGACTTTGCAGCTTCTCTGGCTGTTTGCCCCAGGGCCGGAGGGTTGGGGTTTCCTGCTTCCATCCAGGCAGGAGGAACTCCCTTCCAGCATGTGACAGCCATAGCTGCAGGGGCATTACAGTTTAGGAACAGAGGTCCCGCAGCTTGTTTTGACCTGTTGATGGTAATGGTAGGGCCCAATGACAACATCCTGAATTTTAGTTAGAGGTTTGGCACTCTTGTGAGAGGACAGAACTGGAGCTGCTTATGTGGTTATGATGAACTGTGACAGTGGTACTAGTTAAAGGTGTGAGAGTGGATGAACTCCCCAAATGCCGAGTGCTGAGAATGCGGAGGGCTGTTTGTAGTCACAGGAACCAAAGAAAGGCTGCGAGTGAGGGAGGTCAAGGACGGGGGGAAGGCGCCATCGCAGCGGGCCCAGAAGCAAAGGCACTGGCATGAGGCATCCGCACTGCATGGCATGTCCCCGTGCGGTGCCGTCCCGGAACCAGGTTCTGACCATCTCAGACATGCGTTAGCTGGTTATTATCCTCATTTGGAGGATATCCATGAATATATAACTTGCATTTGCATTTTTGTGCAATAAAAATAAGCTTACTTTATTGTCTACATTTTGAAAAGACTAATATGTAGGGTATGATGTTAAACTATAGGCATTAAGAAATTATGTACCCTAATCCAGTGTTGTTTTAGAACCTGAACACAGAGAAGTTGATTAAGAACCTGAACACAGAGAAGTTAAGTTACTTCTTCCATATTGTTACAAATAGTCAATGCCAGGGTAAAATGTCAATCTAAAAAACAAAAACCTTGGCCAGGCCTGGTAGCTCACACCTGTAATCCCAGCACTTTGGGAGGCTGAGGTGGGAGGATCACTTGAGGCCAGGAGTTCAAGACCAGGGTGGGCAACATAGTGAGACCCTGTCTCTAGAGAAAAGAAGAAAAAAATAGCCAGTGTGTTGGCACCCATCTAGCTAGTAGTCCTAGCTACTCAGGAGGCTGAGGGAGAAGGATTGCTTGAGCCCAGTAGTTCCAGGCTACAGTGAGCTATGATTGCACCACTGTACTCCAGACTGGGCAGCAGAGTGAGACTTTGCCTCAACATAAATAAAATAATAAAGTACAAAACCAACCAGACAAAAATCAAACGTAAAACGATCACCAAAAAACCACTCACATAGACTATACTGTTTTGGAAGGAAGGGGACTTGGCGTTTCAGTACCAACTACCTAACAGCCATGTTGTGTTCACTAGGGATACATAGTGGATAATGTAGACCGTCTTTCTTGCCACGGAGCTTATGGCCTAGTAATCTTACTGTATTAAATTCTCATAATCAACCCTTTTGCCTGAGCTCAGGAGTTGGAGACCACCCTGAGCAACATGGTGAAACTCTATCTGTACTAAAATCAACACAATTATCTGGGCATGGTGGCAGGCGCCTGTCATTCCACCTACTCGAGAGGCCGAGGCACGAGAATCACTTGAGCCTGGGAGGCGGAGATTGCAGTGAGCTGAGATCGTGCCACTGCACTCCAGCCTGGGCAACAGAGTGAGACTCTGTCTCAAAAAAAAAAAAAAAAAAAAAAAAAAAGATTCACTTGGTGTTTAACCTCTATGGATTTGGAGAAATGTATACTGACATGTATCTACCCTTGTAGTATTACACAGAATAATTCCACTGCTCTCAAATTCTTCCTTTCCATCCCTCCCTTCCCCCCTAACCTCTGGCAACCGCTGATCCTTTTACTGTCTCATAGTTTTACCTTTTCCAGAATGTTATATAATTGAAATCATACAGTATGTAGGCTTTGCAGATTGGCTTCTTTTACTTAGTAACATGCATTTAAGTTTCCTCCATGTCTTTTCATGGCTTGAGCTTGAATGATATTGCATTGCCTGGACGTACCACAATTTATCCATTCGCCCACTGAAGATCATCTTGGGTGCTTCCAGCTTTTGGCAATTTTGAATAAAGTTGCTGTAAATTCCATGTGCAGGTTTTTGTGTGGACATAAGTTTCCAGCTCCTCTGTGGGAGTACCAAAGAGCACCACTGGTAGATTGGGGGGTTCTAAGAGGATGGTTAGCTTTATAAGAAATTGCAAAACTGTCTTCCAAAGTGGGTGTCCTATTTTGTGTCCCCACCAACCGTGAAGGGCAGATCCCGTTGCTCTCTATCCTTACCAGCATGTGGTGGTGTCAGTGTTCTGGGTTTTAGCCATTCTAACAGGCATATAATGGTATCTCCTTGGTTTTTTCTTTGTTTTGTTTTGTTTTGTTTTGTTTTTTGAGACGGAGTCTCCCTCTGTAGCCCAGGCTGGAGTGCAATGGCACGATCTCAACTCACTGCAACCTCCACCTCCCAGGTTGAAGTGATTCTCCTGCCTCAGCCTCTGGAGTAGCTGGGATTACAGGTGACCGCCACCACACCCAGCTAATTTTTTTTAAATTTTTAGTAGAGATGGAGTTTCATCACATTGGCCAGGCTGGTCTCTAACTCCTGACCTCAGGTGATCCCCCCGGCTTGGCCTCCCAAAGTGCTGGGATTACAGATGTGGGCCACCGCGCCTGGCCTAATGGTATCTCCTTGTTTTGACTTGCATTTCTCTGATGACATATGATGTGCAGCGTCTTTTTATATGTTTATTTGCCATCTGCGTATCTTCTTTGAGTACTTTTTAATTTAAAAACATTTTTGGTTAAAGGGGAAACCTTAGAAATTTTTCTTTCTGCATTTGCTGCGACTCTCTGTGTATAAAATCGAGTTTTAGGAAGGATCCTGGGATTTTGAAAAGAGAGGCCCTTCAGGGATTCTGGTTCATCATAGTGCTGGAAGTAGAAGTCTTCAGGTAGTCTTCAAATAAATTTTAAGCCTCAGTAAAAATAGCTCAAACTCATGTAGTCAGGAGAAAAAAAAAAAAAAACCCTTGATAGAGCACTAATTCTAAAAAAACAAAAACTGTGAGGCAAAAGGATGTTCTCAGATTGAATCAATTTTTTTTTGTTGTTGTTGTTTGAGATGGAATTTTGCTCTTGTTGCCCAGGCTGGAGTGCAATGGCGCAATCTCAGCTCACTGCAACCTCTGCCTCCGAGGTTCAAGCAGCTCTCCTGCCTCGGCCTCCCAAGTAGCTGAGATTACTGGCGCAAGCCACCATGCCTGGTTAATTTTCGTATTTTTAGTAGAGGCAGGGTTCCACCATGTTGCCCAGGCTAGTCTGGAACTCCCAACCTTGGGTGATCCACTCACCTCGGCCTCCCAAAGTGCTGGGATTACAGGTGTGAGCCACTGAGCCTGGCCCAAAATGTTTTTAAAAGGCAAACACAAACAGCTTAATATTTGGTTTTATGGAGGTGATTTAGGGAGCAATAGGAAGTAATTTATTGATAATAAAAAAGCCATTAATTTTATAATTGTAAAGAACGTTAAGGAATTTGTGGTCTTCCTGAGTAAATTACATCTACTTAATTAAATTCATCTTTTATTCCCACATTTGTATATGAAAGAGCATAGCAAGCTCCACTTTGGAAATGGTGGCTGCTAAAAAATGCTTCTCCTTCTGTCCTTGGGGGCTATCCTGGCTTTTCAGGAGGCCTGGACTTTTATTTTATTTTTTATTTGTTTTGAGGCAGTGTCTGGCTCCGTTGCCCAGACTGGAGTGGGGTGGTGTGATCTTGGCTCACTGCAGCCTCCATTTCCTGGGTTCAGTCGATCCTCCCACCTCAGGCTCCTAAGTAGCTGGGATTACCGGCGTGTACTACCACACCTGGCTAATTTTTGTATTGTTTTGTAGTGATGGGGTTTCGCCAAATTGACCAGGCTGGTCTCGAAGTGATCAGCCCACCTCAGCCTCCCAAAGTGCTGGGATTACAGTTGTGAACCGCTGTGCCTGGCCAGGCATGGACTTGTTTTTTTTCTTTTTTTGTTTTTGAGACGGAGTCTCGCTGTGTTGCCCAGGCTGGAGTGAGTGGCGCAGTCTTGGCTCACTGCAAGCTCTACCTCCCGGGTTCACACCATTCTCCTGCCTTAGCCTCCCGAGTAACTAGGACTACAGGTGCCCGCCACCATGCCCAGCTAATGTTTTGTATTTTTAGTAGAGACAGGGTTTCACCATGTTAGCCAGGATGGTCTCGATCTCCTGACCTCGTGATCTGCCCGCCTTGGCCTCCCAAAGTGCTGGGATTACAGGCGTGAGCCACCGCCGGCGTGGACTTTTAATCAGTTTTCTGGTGACAGTATATGCACCAGGTGGGTTTGGAGCTGAGAGACATCAGCTTCATAGCTGGCCCAGTGCTGGAGGAGGAGAGGACCTCCAGGGGAAGAGGAAACCCCTGAATCTCCGATTAGGTCATGTTTTAAGCCAGTCCCAAGTGGACTCCAGATAAGGAGTTGACAAACTGTTTCTGTAAAGACCAGATAATAAATATTGTAGGCTTTGCGGGTCATGTGGTCTCTGTTTCAACCTTTCATTGTAAAGTAAAGGCAGCCATAGACAATCAGTAAACAAGTGGAGGTGGGTATATTCGGATTAACACTGAACTTTGTTCATATAATTTTCCAGAGTCACAAAATATTATTTAAAAATTTTTCCAATTGTTTAAAAATGTAAAAACCATCCTGTATTAGTCTGTTTTCACGCTGCTAATAAAGACATACCTGAGACTGAACAATTTACAAAAGAAAGAGGTTTAATGGATTCATAGTTCCACGTGGCTGGGGGGCCTCACAATCATGGTGGAAGGTGAACGGCACG